CATCTTCCCTCAGCTCCCCTGTACTCTTACATAAAATAGCTTATTGTTATATGTACAATAAAAGGAAGAATCAACATAATTACATGCCCTTCCCACAATCGCAGTCATTATAACAACCATCATTAAGGCCTGTGATTGGAGATAATCATGTTTACCTCCATAAACATTCGGTCTGCATCCTAACTCGAGGCTGCTCGAGCAGGAGAAGCGATGACACTCGTAATTAGGACCGGTGCCCTCAGACGCATGCTGGGGTGGCCATGGATGCTGGCCAGTCCCAGCACCTCCTTGGGCATTAGTCAAGAACTGGATTGAGCCTCTAGGCACAAAAACACCACGCAGGGGCAGCACGTATCTGCTTCATGTCCCACAGATGCCTCTTGGTGGCAGAAGCACCCCCAATTCCTCCTCACACACAGGAAGCTTTCGAGAAACCCCACTGCCGCTTTCCAGCACTGACCCGTCTCTGCTCCCAGGGGCTTCAGGGCCGGGTGACCGACTGAGCTGAAGCATGGGGCAAAGCAAGCCCACCCTGCCTGTAAAGCAGACGGATAACGATTAAGAGTGCTAACAAGGGATTTGGGGGAAGCCACGCTCTGTCCATGGACCTTCCATGCAAACTCACTCAAAAGCCACTCCTCTCCCCAGACATTTCCAAGCTGAGAGACACAGAGAGGAACCGGTGGCTTTTTGAAAGTCCCAAAGCCTTTCCCTGGCACCATGGGCACATCAGACATCCTGAAGCTGCCTGAACTGCATCTTTAGGCAGTTGAATCGCTAAAGCCTTTCCCTGGCACCATGGGCACAGCAGACATCCTGAAGCTGCCTACCTGCATCTTTAGGCAGTTGAATCGCCTTAAAAAATGGGCTTTGGTCCTCAAGGGCCTTGGTATTCCACTGTAAAAAAATCACAGGCCCTGTCTCTCCGGGTGTAAACGGAAGAAAACGTTTGAGCCATTGGAGCAGGGAAGCCGCTGGTGGCACAGCCAGCAAGAAACTAGCCAGCAAGCTTACCCGTGCACTGCCACACGCTGAGAAAGTCCAGTCAGTGGGATGATTCGCATTAAGAAAAGCTCTGTAGGACGGTGGTTCCAACACAGGGGTTGGGATTTGGCCCTCTGAGATCTGCGCTGCGAGGCGCCGGGTCCCACAGGCAGACTCCGAACGCGGAGCCCTGCTTTCCCCCGGACACTCAGGGTGAGGGTCACAGGGCCAGGGACGTTTGCAGACAAATCCCCTCGGCGGGACGAAGTCGGGAGCGTTTGCTGAGGAGGTCGTCTCGGACGGCCAGAGCGAGAGAGCATACAAAGGCAGGAGATATTTTGGGGGCAAGGGGGGAAGTCAACTCTTTGAGCATAAATAGCTGACTGGACTTAACAGAAAGGCACAGCAGCGATGCAAAGTTGGAAACAAATGACGCTCCATAGGCACGGTAAAAATGGCATAGGTAAAAATGCAATTAATTGAGCGAGAGAAAGAGGTGGGGGGAAATTGCTGAGGCTGCCTGCATTCATTAGGAAAGTCTAACAGTAGATAAATCCTCCCATCCCTGCCCAGTTCCTTGCTGCGTATCCAAACTCAGGTCACCCCCCGCAGAGTCCAGGTACCTCTAGAAACGCACTGCAAGTTCGCAGCCTCACGCGCAAACACCGCAAACCGCCGCTCGTGGCAGCCTGGCTTTTCAGTTAGAGGCAGGGGCGTTACACTGGCAACGAAGCAGACGCTTGTCTCAATTCCAGCAAGCCGTGCCGGGCAATGCGCAAGGGACAACTGCTTTACTTTCCGCAAAAGGATCGGAGGGGGGAAGTATTATTAGCACTGACATAAAGGCCAAGAGGAAATTATTGGAATCCTCATTCTACAAGTCCCCTTTCGAGAAACATTTACCATCTCCCTGAGCAATACAGTATGTGACTATATGGGCAAATATTTAACAAAAACTACTCTCCCAATTGATCAAGGAGACAGGCACACTCAGAGAAACCAATTAGCACTAGTGCTTTTGAACCAAGAGATTTATTTAGCACTGAGAGAAAAAACCTCGAATTAATGGGAAGCTTAAAAGACACTTTGAAGTACATTTAAAAAAAAATTAAGTTTAATTATTTTTTACTTGACCCTGTGATTCACGTTCAAAGCTTCAAAAGATCCTGCTCATACCCCAGCATTGTCCTTTTCCATTTGGGAAGCACAGTTCTGGCTTTTCCTCCTTTGCTTCTGAAAAATAACACAGCTAGTTTGACTGCTCTAATTGCCAGGAACGTCCATTGCAAAGGCTGCAGCTCACACCGGGTCTCATCCTCCTGGCCCCGGTCCAGACCCACCACCAGTGAGGCCGCCGTCCCTGTCCCGGCAGCACACGCTCCCGACAGATGAAGCCCGTGTTATTGCTCCTGTTCTAGACAGGGGACATTAATCACCGAGAGACGAAGCGACCTGCCGAAGGCCCCTGTCCAAGCGTGTGGCAAGGCAGCAGCAGTCGGGCACAGCCTGCCCGTCCGGCACAGCATCACCGCGAGCACGGCAAGGAGACCGAGGTGATACTGGTGGCCTCCACCAGAGCCTCCAGTCCAAGCCCTGAGCACCTCCAGCTCCTCTGGCACTGCACCTGCAGCACCACTGCCACCGGGAAGCTGCCTCTCGTGAGCACAAAGGTCTGATTTGGCGCCTTGAGATTTACTGTGCGTGCTCCTAGCATAACGCAGCGCGAATCAGCAGCGACCCATGGGCGAGCCTGACCACCACCAAGGTCAGTCACCCTGGTCCTGCCCAATCAAGTCAAAAGAAAATGTCCTTGGACTCCCACAAGCCCAGAATCAGAGCTTTTCATAGCAAGCTGCAGGTTAGTATTAGGACAAAACACTTGGGAAGGGGTTAGGAACAGCCCTACAAAAAATAGCTTCTGGGTTTTTGCTTGTTTGTTTGTTTCTTTTTAAAAAACATCTCTACAGTACAGGACACAGAAGAAAGAGATACTTAGGACCTGAAAGATGTTCACCAGCAGATTGTAACAGGTTTCAGGCTGATGAAACTGGCAACCTACAAATCCAGCTGGTGCCCCCTTAAATCTCCTTGAAGCTGGCCCAGGCACTAAGGAGAAAAGCACTACACAGCAGTAAAGTGCAAATTGGGTCTTTAGGGCATCCAGAAAAATTTACATTTAAAGAAGAGGAGAATAGGCTGTAACAGGCCCAACATCTTGCTCGCAGTAAAGTTTACTAGCTCAGAATTTTTTATCCCCTTTCCTTTTGGACGGGAGGTTATATAAAGTGATTTTTCCACCAGGGCGCATAAACCACGTCCACTCGTTAAGCGCTTGCAGGAGGCCTTCGTGGAGGATCACGCAGCCCCTCGGCCACCTGACGCGCAGCCCAGAGACCTGCCCGACGTCAGCGCCCCGGGCACGGACAGAGCTCCTGGCTGCGGAAGGCACACGCAGCCCCAAGAGCCCCAGAAGCGGCCCCAAACACTTTTCAGATGTTAGAGAGCAGAGTGGGCAAATCCCAGGAGGCGGCTCGTTAGCTGCAAGCGGGGAAGCGGGAAGCATTCGCAGCACAAAGGCCCCTTCCAGGACGAGCTCCGCGTCCTCGCGGGCTCCCCCGTCTCCCCGGAAAGCAGGGGTGAAACCTGTCGGCAGAGCAGGGAAGGGCAAAGACCTTAATTGTGCACAGCAGCTCTGTCCCCAGTGAGGCATCCAAAGAGCAACAGCAACCCAGATGTGTTATTCTTATTATTATTTTCTGATGTGCTGTTGTTGGCCCGTCCCACGCGTTTGTAAGCCTCGACCGGATCACAGCCTCATCACAGCCGGCGTCAGCGATACAAACACGGAGTCGACCCTTCCGCAAAAGCCTCCTGGCAAACGAGCGCAGGGCGTGAGGCAACGGTGACATCCGATATAATAGCAAGGCCAGATCAGTCCGCTGCGTGTTTGTCTCCGTACGCTCACCTATTTGCCTCTCTCTTCTCTTAAAGTGCAATTATTGACATGTTTGCCTCCTTAACCATCAGTTTTATATGCTTGCCAATGACTCCTGCACATGTGTAAACAATTATTTTTATTTTCTTGCAAAACCTGAGGCAACGGTGACATCCGATATAATAGCAAGGCCAGATCAGTCCGCTGCGTGTTTGTCTCCGTACGCTCACCTATTTGCCTCTCTCTTCTCTTAAAGTGCAATTATTGACATGTTTGCCTCCTTAACCATCAGTTTTATATGCTTGCCAATGACTCCTGCACATGTGTAAACAATTATTTTTATTTTCTTGCAAAACCAAAAAGTTACATATTCTTTTGGATAAACTGACTCGGGCAGATTTTCATGAGCCCTGCTACATAATTTATTAGTTTAAAAACTCTGTAAAAAGTAAAAGCTCCAGTAAAGTTCAAATAACTTTGTGATTTCAAAGTAATTTTGCACGGACTATTCCTGTTCCTGCCCAACGTTATTCAGTGAATTTAAATGAGAATTCTCAATCTGCAGAGGGGGGTTCCCGCATTGTTTTGTTAGATCAAATAAAAGGACAATATCCGGGGTCAGAAGCCCAGTAGCGCAAAGCATGAAATAAAGGAGGAGGTGGGGGAAGGAGGGGGGCACGGAGAAAAGCATCTTCTGCCCCAGCCCTGCGGCCCAGGCTTTTCTCATTTGCACACGTAGAACAGCAGCCGTTTTGCAGCCCCTACGGCCGTCGAGCCGCTCCACGCCAGCCTGCGGCGGGGCGGGCCCGGGGCAAAAACCGGGGGGACAGCAGGGAAGAGGAAGGGAGGAACCGGGCAGAAACCTTGGACCCGAGACCCTCTGCAACCCCCAGCTCCCAAACGCGCGTGGGGGTTGCGCTGCGCAAGGTCCGAGGCCTGACAGGTAGTAAGAAGAGGCACAATGAGATTAGTTTAGGATTTCTAAATCCCTGCGCCGGGGTGACGGGGCACTTCAGGAGGGGTCCGGCGGGCCTTATACCCCCTCTCCCCGGGCCGGCTGTAAGTACATCCAGAGCCAAGTTCAGCTTGGGTGCCGCGGCGGCCCAGAGACGCCGGCAGCTGCGCGCACGCGCGTGCCCGGCCCGAACGCGGCCGCCGGCCCCTTCCAGCCACGCGGGAAAACAGCCAGCTCCGCGTCCCGAAACCCTCCTGGTGAACCCCCCCGAGAGAAGCCGAGCCCGGACGCCGGTTTGAATTTCATATATCGCCTTTTGAGTTTTACTACGGAACTGATACCGGATACCCTGTACGTATTTTAAGAGAAAAGACGGGGTATTACACCAATTTAGGAGAAAGCAATTCTTTTTTGAGGTTTTTTAAAAAAAAAAACAAAACAAAGCCATACGGAACAGGAATTAGTGAAAGCTGGATTGGGGTGAGTGCGAGGGACCGGGGGACGAGCAGGAGGGACCAGGGATGAGCACAGGGGATTGGGGTGAGTGCGAGGGACCGGGGGACGAGCAGGAGGGACCAGGGATGAGCACAGGGGATTGGGGTGAGTGCGAGGGACCGGGGGACGAGCAGGAGGGACCAGGGATGAGCACAGGGGATTGGGGTGAGTGCGAGGGACCGGGGGACGAGCAGGAGGGACCAGGGATGAGCACAGGGGATTGGGGTGAGTGCGAGGGACCGGGGGACGAGCAGGAGGGACCAGGGATGAGCACAGGGGATTGGGGTGAGTGCGAGGGACCGGGGGACGAGCAGGAGGGACCAGGGATGAGCACAGGGGATTGGGGTGAGTGCGAGGGACCGGGGGACGAGCAGGAGGGACCAGGGATGAGCACAGGGGATTGGGGTGAGTGCGAGGGACCGGGGGACGAGCAGGAGGGACCAGGGATGAGCACAGGGGATTGGGGTGAGTGCGAGGGACCGGGGGACGAGCAGGAGGGACCAGGGATGAGCACAGGGGATTGGGGTGAGTGCGAGGGACCGGGGGACGAGCAGGAGGGACCAGGGATGAGCACAGGGGATTGGGGTGAGTGCGAGGGACCGGGGGACGAGCAGGAGGGACCAGGGATGAGCACAGGGGATTGGGGTGAGTGCGAGGGACCGGGGGACGAGCAGGAGGGACCAGGGATGAGCACAGGGGATTGGGGTGAGTGCGAGGGACCGGGGGACGAGCAGGAGGGACCAGGGATGAGCACAGGGGATTGGGGTGAGTGCGAGGGACCGGGGGACGAGCAGGAGGGACCAGGGATGAGCACAGGGGATTGGGGTGAGTGCGAGGGACCGGGGGACGAGCAGGAGGGACCAGGGATGAGCACAGGGGATTGGGGTGAGTGCGAGGGACCGGGGGACGAGCAGGAGGGACCAGGGATGAGCACAGGGGATTGGGGTGAGTGCGAGGGACCGGGGGACGAGCAGGAGGGACCAGGGATGAGCACAGGGGATTGGGGTGAGTGCGAGGGACCGGGGGACGAGCAGGAGGGACCAGGGATGAGCACAGGGGATTGGGGTGAGTGCGAGGGACCGGGGGACGAGCAGGAGGGACCAGGGATGAGCACAGGGGATTGGGGTGAGTGCGAGGGACCGGGGGACGAGCAGGAGGGACCAGGGATGAGCACAGGGGATTGGGGTGAGTGCGAGGGACCGGGGGACGAGCAGGAGGGACCAGGGATGAGCACAGGGGATTGGGGTGAGTGCGAGGGACCGGGGGACGAGCAGGAGGGACCAGGGATGAGCACAGGGGATTGGGGTGAGTGCGAGGGACCGGGGGACGAGCAGGAGGGACCAGGGATGAGCACAGGGGATTGGGGTGAGTGCGAGGGACCGGGGGACGAGCAGGAGGGACCAGGGATGAGCACAGGGGATTGGGGTGAGTGCGAGGGACCGGGGGACGAGCAGGAGGGACCAGGGATGAGCACAGGGGATTGGGGTGAGTGCGAGGGACCGGGGGACGAGCAGGAGGGACCAGGGATGAGCACAGGGGATTGGGGTGAGTGCGAGGGACCGGGGGACGAGCAGGAGGGACCAGGGATGAGCACAGGGGATTGGGGTGAGTGCGAGGGACCGGGGGACGAGCAGGAGGGACCAGGGATGAGCACAGGGGATTGGGGTGAGTGCGAGGGACCGGGGGACGAGCAGGAGGGACCAGGGATGAGCACAGGGGATTGGGGTGAGTGCGAGGGACCGGGGGACGAGCAGGAGGGACCAGGGATGAGCACAGGGGATTGGGGTGAGTGCGAGGGACCGGGGGACGAGCAGGAGGGACCAGGGATGAGCACAGGGGATTGGGGTGAGTGCGAGGGACCGGGGGACGAGCAGGAGGGACCAGGGATGAGCACAGGGGATTGGGGTGAGTGCGAGGGACCGGGGGACGAGCAGGAGGGACCAGGGATGAGCACAGGGGATTGGGGTGAGTGCGAGGGACCGGGGGACGAGCAGGAGGGACCAGGGATGAGCACAGGGGATTGGGGTGAGTGCGAGGGACCGGGGGACGAGCAGGAGGGACCAGGGATGAGCACAGGGGATTGGGGTGAGTGCGAGGGACCGGGGGACGAGCAGGAGGGACCAGGGATGAGCACAGGGGATTGGGGTGAGTGCGAGGGACCGGGGGACGAGCAGGAGGGACCAGGGATGAGCACAGGGGATTGGGGTGAGTGCGAGGGACCGGGGGACGAGCAGGAGGGACCGGGATCGAGCGTGAGGGACCAGGGACGAGCACAGGGGATTGGGGCGAGTGTGAGGGACCGGGGGATGAGCAGGAGGGACTAGCGATGAACGTGAGGGACCAGGGACAAGTGTGAGGGACCGGGGGACGAGCAGGAGGGACCGGGATCGAGCGTGAGGGACCAGGGACGAGCACAGGGGATTGGGGCGAGTGTGAGGGACCGGGGGATGAGCAGGAGGGACTAGCGATGAACGTGAGGGACCAGGGACAAGTGTGAGGGACCGGGGGACGAGCAGGAGGGACCGGGATTGAACGTGAGGGACCGGGGGACAAACAGGAGGGACTAGGGACGAGCATGAGGGATCAGGGTGAGCACAGGGGATTGGGGTGAGTGTGAGGGACTGGGGGACAAGCAGGAGGGACCGGGATTGAGTGTGAGGGATCGGGGGACGAGGAGGAGGGACCAGGGACGAGCGTGAGGGACCGAGGGAGAAGCAAGAGGGACTAGGGACGAGCAGGAGGGACCGGGGTGAACACAGGGGATTGGGGCGAGCGTGAGGGACCGGGATGA